TGGTTTCCATTCCTGGGCAAACTTGGCTGGCGTTTATCAGCATCGAGGATGTCTAGCATAGCCAGGAGAAGAGCAGCATCTAGTGGCAAAAATGGTTATTTTGGGTGATTTGCTCTCCAACGGTTGACCCAGGTAGAGAGTTGTGTTTTGAGGGTTTTGCAATTCTGTAGTGGTTAAGTGCTCTTCAGGATACCAGTGTTTCTCAACCTCAGCAACTTTTATTGGCTGGAGGATTCTGGGAGTTGAAGTCCACCCATCTTCAAGTCGCTAAGATTGAGAAACACTGTTCTAGATATCTTTTCCTGCAACTGCTGAGTCCCAGACCCTGGATAGCTTAAGCTAACACACTGCATATAGTCATCTAAAGTGCAGAAGTCTGTGAGTTCAATTCCTGCTACAAGGTTTGAACCCCATAGAATAACATCTGGCTTCCTGCATCTAGTGTTCCTTGGAAACCATCATGTGAGCTCTCCTGATGGTCTGGGTGATGTGCATTAGTGCTGCTCCGGGTTGTGGAACCAGAAGGGAGATGGGCACAAGATGCAATGGTCACCAATGTTCTCATCTGCTATTTATGTGTGTCTCCCAGAGATGTGGAGAGGGGGGATTTTTCCTCTGCAGCCCATGGCCAGATCCCGCCTTATTGTTCGTGGAAATTGGGGAATTCTGAGAGTTGAAGTCCACACATCTACAAGCTGCCAAGGTTGAGAAACACTGTGCTAGAGACACTCTTGCTTGGTTGCCCCAGCAGGTAGAAGATTACTGTAGAAATAGATATCTAAATATTTTTTAAAAGCTTACCAGCTCAATAGTTCTTTCATTTATTCACCATCTGAGGGGTTGAAGCATTTTCCTGAAAATACCAGGACTTTTATATCCGAGTAGACAGTTGCCAGGTGCTCTCTATCAAAATGGGCTTTTAGTGCTTTCAGACACCCAGGCAACCAACTTTTGATATAGAGAGAACGTCTGCTTCATCCTCATATAAACCAACAGATATGGTGTGATTGGCAAAACATGAAGGATGAAAGTCTGGATGGGCAAAAACTTCAACAACATTAATATAAAGCAGTGTTTTTCAAACTTGGCAACTAAGATAGGTGGACTTCAACTCCCAGAATTCACCAGCTGACATGCTGGCTGGGGAGTTCTGGGAGCTGAAGTCCACACATCAGTTGCCAAGTTTGAAAAACACGGATATAAAGGTTGAACTGCACAGGAGCCAGTTCGCATCCTTGTGTGACCTCTTTAGGCTCCATTAGGTCCCCTTTGCCATTGCACTGGACGCGTGACAGTGCCTTGGTGTGATTATACAATCAATCTGAAGTGGTGGCAATCAATTGCGGAGGCTGCTCATTTCCTCCAGTGTTTCTCTGGGGGTATAGAATCAAATGCCACCTTTAGATCTACTCTGTACACCAGTGTTTCTCAACCTTAGCCACTTTAAGGTGAGTGGACTTCAACTCCCAGAATTTGGGCACATTATTTGAATTTGGGTAGTTGAACTCTGGGAGTTGAAGTCCACTCATTTTAAAGTGGCCAAGGTTGAGAAACACTGCTGTACACAATGGTGATCAGAACTCATAACTCCAGTTATTGGAAAGTTTAATGTCCTTCATGATGAGAAGGCCATTGGTTTCCTTTTAAGTGAGCAATGCTTAAATGTCTCAAGGGCAGTGGTGATATTTTTATCTGTGGCTTTGGCTTATAGGAATCGGCTGGTGCTTTCCTCCCAGCTTTGGCTTCTATGCAATATTTGTCTGTGTCCGTGTCTGTGCCTCTACCTCTCTATATATAGAGAGAGGTTTTAATGTTTGTTGGTTTGGTCTTGGAGTATATATTAATAAATAAGAACATGTGTGGTATTCTTCCTTCTACCTGTGGTCTAGAATGATAGTAGTAGCTGTTTCAACTGGGACCCCTTTCAAAGCCTTCTCACCATAACTAAGTCATCTAACTTGCTCTGAAGACCAACTCTAAAGTTACCGTAAGAACGATGTTAAAATATGCACTGCACGTATCCTCGGTATGAAGCACCAACACTACTGAAGCAGACTTAAGGTGGAACCATTTTTATTGACACAGACATGTATTTTGATAAAAATCTGCATTTTAAATCACTTCTTTCCAACTTTCTCCATGCTTCAGGAATAACTTTTCTTTTCCAATCTTCATTTCTAAGCTATTTACATCTTTAACTACCTTACGAAAGCAAAACCTTTTGTGAGGGTACAACTATCCAAAGCTACCAAAAAACCATAGAACGCTTATGTGAAGCTGGAAACAATAGACGGTTGATGGAATTGGGAATATATTTTACAAAAACAGATGTCAGAAGCCACGTTAGTTTACTAAGACACACTGACTGGATTTATCAGTGTGTATATGCTGGTGTGTAGGAATACCACACTGACAATTCCTCTTCTGTTACAATGTTATAGCCTATGTCAGTGTTGTCCAAACTTGGCCACTTTAAGATGAGTGGACTTCAACTC